TCCGGGAGCCATGTATGTAATCACTCCCTGCAAGTAATGAGGAACGAGCCAAGGAGCAGTGGCGGGGGCTCTCTGTGTTAAACTCGCTCAAGCATTTAGCGTCCCCACCTAACCCTGGCCCTTCTCCCCCCCTCCCCCTCCTCTTTTTTAAATTGTTCTGACTAGGTCTATTACTACATCCTTGCGATCTGTCATCCGCTGACTGCGCCAGTGATCTGTCACCCGCTGACTGCGCCAGTGATCAGCGAGGATGGTTTATGCTCGTGGCACCGCTTGCTGTTGTGTCTGCTGGGAGCAAGCAAAATCTTTACTCCAAATAAGTAATTTTGCCACTGTAGAACAATCAAGGCATCGTTCTTCCTGCCCAAGAAGAAAGGTGCATGAAACTGCTCTTTGCAGCACTAATTTGGTGCAAGCTAAAAATGTGACCCAAGTTACCGCAGCCTATATATCTACTACACTATAGAGTCTACGGTAACTCAATGAAGAATGGCTATCGAAACTAGTGTTGTCTCCATCTATTGTGCAGCAAGTCCAGCAAGTCCTGTTGAGGCAAATCTTCCAATTGAGTCTGGTTGTTGGTGCTGCGCAAAGTAATCAGAAATCTTGAAATCTTCTCCGATTGTGAGCCTAGCGAGTTGTTAGTATTGTATCACTTTATTGCAGCTTTTATGCGGTTTCATCTAGAAACAGTTGTAAATATCGATAGATCTAGATTACGGGATATCCTGCAGACTTTAACTGACTTTCTCTAGAAATCCTAATAGTAGCTACTAAGCCTATCGCCCATTTGCTCACTTTCCAATTCTGCACCACCTTGTCTGCAACCCACGTGACGCCACTGGCAAGAAGTAGCAGTAGAAAGTCTGCAGAAAGAGTCAAGGAGTAGCAGTAGAAAGGCTGCAGAAAGAGTCAAGGAGTAGCAGTAGAAAGGCTGCAGAAAGAGTCAAGAAGTAGCAGTAGAAAGGCTGCAGAAAGAGTCAAGGAGTAGCAGTAGAAAGGCTGCAGAAAGAGTCAAGAAGTAGCAGTAGAAAGGCTGCAGAAAGAGTCAAGAAGTAGCAGTAGAAAGGCTGCAGAAAGAGTCAAGAAGTAGCAGTAGAAAGGCTGCAGAAAGAGTCAAGAAGTAGCAGTAGAAAGGCTGCAGAAAGAGTCAAGAAGTAGCAGTAGAAAGGCTGCAGAAAGAGTCAAGAAGTAGCAGTAGAAAGGCTGCAGAAAGAGTCAAGAAGTAGCAGTAGAAAGGCTGCAGAAAGAGTCAAGGAGTAACAGTAGAAAGGC